GACATACGGGGCGGCAGTGGCTCAGTGGTTGAGTTGGTTGTCTATCAATCGGAAGGTTGGTGGTTCGATCCCCCGGTGATCCCCTGGGAAATTGGCGAGGTGTCCATGAGCACCTAACAGTGTATGAATGAGTGAATGAATGGGTGAATGTGACGCAGGATCTGTAAAGCGCTTTGGATAAAGGCGCTATATAAAAGCGCAGCATTTCTTTAGTGTGGGATGAAAAAGTAGTCCAATAATGGTTGTAATGTATTATGCGTATTATTAGGAATTAGTAATAATGCCTGAAATGTTCGGACAGATTTGAAACCATGTCACCAGTGCTGTGTTTTTGCTTAACCCTTTCTACTGCAGAGGAAGTTCTGTGTTTTACATTCATAAACTGCTCTCCCATTTTGAAACTGTTTGTGGCCTGTTAACACCAACATGTTGTTTTTGGCCACAAACAAACACAATACTTTATTTCAACCCACAAAGTGTTTCCCGAAGTGCATTGAGGAAATGCTTTGAATATTTCTCATGCTCTTTGAATGTGAGGCCAATTATGATATTTACTTCGCATGTTCGTTGTTGAGCAAATACTCTTCTCCATAGTGTCTTATATTTGCATTAATTTTTGAGATGGCTAGGCCGGAGTACCACAATGTGATCTGCAAGCGGTTCGACTAGAGCACCTAAAACCCGAACGGTGCTAGCGTCTGTTGTTGGTGTCCCCTTTCTTCAATAGTAAAGCACACCTACTGTCAGTTTGGTTACAGATATCTGAGCCACCAGGTGGCGTTGATGAGTGTCTTCTTATTGCGCGCTTAAATTTCCCTTTTTTTTGTTAGTAGTTGCTGCTGACTTTGTGAATTTAGTGTCGTCCGTGATGTAGTTTGCAAGCAAAACCTTTTTTTAAACATCTCTGCACAGACCCAAAATGAATAATATCAGTGGTAGATAAAATTGACCAGATTCCACAAATAATTCCACAGCACGTACAATACAGCAGTTATCTACAGCAGAGAGATGTACATAAAGAAGTCGACCATGCTGCAAAAAATGTGGCTTCAAGAAATGTATTTTTTTACTTATTTAATCATCCAAAAGCGTGACATTACTGGCTGGTGTTAACATTTTTATTGAGGAAAGCTTCTTCCTGTTGGTTTTGAAGACGCTATGATTTGCTGTGATTTGAAAGTGCAAGGCGCTTTAAGGGGAATGCATCACACGTATAGCTTTGTTTGGCGAGGACACCACACACACACACACACACACACACTGTAAGTCAATGGTGTAAACGCTTGTTTATCCCTCCCCAGCATGAGAGAGAACTTTTCAGTCTGGGAAGCAATGTACGAGATGTATTGATATTTATTAAACGGGAACATCTGAAAGGGGATTCATAATTGAAGCGTGCCCATTAATCATTGCGGGGAGACTTCCTCATGTCTGTCTGAAATAACACAAAGTCCTGGGGGTGTGTGTAAGCCTGAGAGATCGTGTGTGACGCTATCTGATTGATAGTCTCTGTGAATCTGGAACGTGCGTTGTATTCCTATGCACACAGCCCGGGTAACGGGTTACATAACAGATTTTTGCCTGGCATTCCCAGGTGAACCAGGACAACATGATCCGGTCCCAAGCTATAACTGGAAGGGTGAGGACCCTTGACAAGACAATCGGGCGTGCCTGGTTCTGTGCGAAGGAGCATACCCTTTCACCTTCCCATGTGCGGTCAAGGGCATGTCAAACCCTTGAGAGGCGGCGGGCGTTTGTTTTGGTCAGTGGGACTCCGTCGATTACATAGTCGCGCTCTCCGCTGCGTGAACCCAATGGGTGCCAATTTGCCGGGCGTACGTGTGCTCACACACGTCAACCCCACCGCCCGGCGATCCGGCTCATTTCTCCGGCAGGTCTGCAGAAGAAATAAAAACACGTAAAAGCGCAGACATGCATCTGCACACGCAACCGCGCCGTGTGTGCGCGCGCTCTTCTCAGAAAAAACCCTCCCTCCGTGGTGGGTAGAAAACAAGGTTGTTCCTAATTGACACCACATGCCGGGGAGAGTCAGGCGGCCTCGACGCTCACAGCGGTTCCCCTCTCCCTTCCACCAGTCCTCCCCCCTCCTACCACCAGCCGCTAATATTCCAACCGTACAGAGCTTTTGCTTTCCTCCTCGCTTCGTTTTTGCAAACTCGCTCACATCCCAGGCGTTCCCCCCTTCATCCCTCTTTCCCACTGTCCTCCCGACTGTTAGTTGAAGGGAGGCCTGTTAGCGGGGTTCCATGACATTCATTTTCCTATTTTTTTCTGCTTTAGGGGGTGGGCAGGTTGTGTGTGTGTGTGTGTGTGTGTGTGTGTGTGTGTGTGTGTGTGTGTGTGTGTGTGCGGGTCAAGTTAAGTTACATTTGTCGGTCACATACACAGACGGGCAGATGTAATTGCGGTTTAGTTAAACGCTTGCGTGTGTGTGGTGTGAGCTCGGGGGTGACTGAGGGCATGGTGGAGTCATGCCAAAACAGGGAGGTCTGGAGACTGGCAAAAAGAGGGAAAGAAAGGCGAGGAGGAAGGGTTGGGGCGTCGTGAAGGGGGACGGGGTGTCTTGCTGCAGAAAATGTAGGTTTTGGGAGTACTCTGACTGCTGTCTGGAGCTAGCTACGGTTCAGTTGGTTTGGTCTCGAAGTTTCCACTAAGGACTTCCCTCCGCCTTTTCGCCAGATTGAGTGTTTTCCCTTTCTGCCGACGTCGACCGACTCCGGCCTCGTCACGGACCTCTTCTGAGGACAAAGCCGGGCCTTTTTAGTGCCACATGGGCCAGCTGTGAATTCGAATGCCTTACGCCGAGGCGTTTCATAGAGCAAGATGGCCATTCTTGAAACACATCTGTAAGACACTTACTCACCCGATGAAAATCAACAGCCGGTTTTATTTAGTTACATTGCGAACTTCAAAGCCAGTGAACAGGTGCAATTCATTTGGACAATAAATATCTAAATGTATGCGTGAATTCAGATACATTTGTCTTGCCAGAATATTATTGTCACCATCACCAAACGCATCAAGATTTTCTCTATCGAAAACAGCAGTGGCAGGTAGGTCTGTCACGATCATGATATTTTAGGTGATGATTAATTGTCACACATGTAGGTGCGATTAACGATTTAATTGTCAATATTGTTACATTTATTACACTATTAGTATACTAAGCCTCATAATCTGAATATTATTCTAATAATAAACATGAGTAATATGAAGATTTATTGACAATAAACATTGAAACTGTATTAAACTCCCTTATGGAAACATGTCTGGGTAAAAAATCGCGATCTGTGTAAATAATCCCGATCTGTGTAAATAATCGCGATCTGGTAAATAATCGCGATCTGTGTAAATAATCGTGATCTGGTCAATAACCATGATCTGGTAAATAGCCGTGATCTGGTAAATAACCGCGATCAGGCGATTATGTAATAATTGTGACATCCATAGTGGCAGGATCACGCTCTTTACTCGGTCTCAGAATCCCTCCTCGTGGTCATGTGAAAGCCACCAAACCCCTGAGCGCTGGCTAATCAGGCTTTGGAAAGTGGTCATGGAAAGCAGTTGTCTCAGCTTATGCCTAGATTGCTCTTATACTTTTGTCAGTGAATTAGTTCCAAACATGTATAATCTTCTGGGAGCACCACTTTAGCATTGGGGCAAGAATAAACAGTGGCCAGGCGCACTCAGTCCACATGAGTGTAGTATCGTGCACCACATTTGTGGCCTATGTTCACACAGAAATGCCAAGCTTTTGTAGTTGCCAATTGGCTGTTGTTTTTAGTTGTTTTTACACGTGTTGCCAAGTTTTCAACCTAACCAAAGAATCGTTTTCTCCTGTTCTCCCTTCCTGTGTGTGTGCGTGTCTCTTTCATTCTCTTTCTTACTTTACTCTTTGTTATCACTGGGCCCTAATATATATCACAGCTTTCCAGAAGTGTCCTTGGAGAGTGACCCTATAGAAACTTCTGCTCTAACTGGAAATCTGGTTATAATGAATATTGCAGCCTCAAAAACGAAAGATGTTTTCCCGGCATGCAAAAATCTGGAAAGGTGAGATCAAACAAAAGATGATGTCTATTTCCCCGCTGTTCTTTTTCTCCTTTCTGTTTCTTCCATTTCTCTGTAATTTTTCCAGTCAGTCAAATGTTCAGTGGAACACAGTATCCACAATGTGGCTCTGCAACCGTGTGGGGAGCTAACCTGTTACTTCTTTCTCCCACTGGAGACCTAGATACAATGACTATCTCAGACATAAACCCATCTGTAGCCAGTCCATTATCGACGTGGGTCCAAAACACTTTAATCCGGAAGGCTGAGACTTTCTGTTATCCGTGAGCTAGGATATCTGACTTAAATTCCATGCTTCCGCTACTTATTAGAAGGCACTCAGTTCCTACTGTCCTTTTCTATGTTGGGTCTAATGACATTAAATTTCAGCAGTCTGAGAAACTGAGAGTGGGTTTTCACATTAACATAAATGTCTGGATGCTGGTCAGCAGGGCATTATCTCCGGTCCATTTCCATCTCCCTGTTATTTGGATATTGTTTTTACTCGTATTCGCCAATTACATATATGGCTACGGGATACTGCTGCTGTAGTGGAATTCTGCTTGTCAATAACGTTGCAGCTTTTATTGACCGGCCTGGTCTATTTCTTCGAGACAATATACATCTTAACTGGTATGGCTCCAGCATTCTCTTCACCAACATGTCTCTTACTCTTGCCTCGTGTAGAGCCTTTAATACCTGATGCTGTAGAGCAGGGGTTCTCAAAGTCAACATTCAAATCAAATCTGACATTGTCAAATGTCCGGAACAATTGGTAGTTACAAAACTTGTTTTTAATAAATATGCATCACAAATAAACAGATTTTTTTTTTTAAAGGAAAGTGCCTGTCCCAAAGCAATATGAATGTCCAGTTTTAAATGTGGTGCTTTGTTTTAATGCTTGTTTTACTCTAGCAGGGGTTTATGGCGAAGTTGGTGGCTCAGTAGTAGCGTGCATGCTTTGTATGTATGACGTCCTGGGTTCAAATCCCAGCTGCTCCCCAGGTTGCTGTTGAAAGTGAAAAATGGTTCTCGATTGGCCTATCTAGTTAAATAAAGGTTACATATTCTTTTAAATAACAATCGCCCTCCCTCAGCTCCTCCTACTACTCAAGGGTCACAAGGGTCCTAGCTGCCCTGAGTGCCATAGATGCAAAAGAAATCATTAGGTGCGGACCACTTAGACCCATACTTACGTATGTGAGCTGCACCCATCATTGAGTCTTCAGTGACACACATTTTAAACTTAACACTAACTACAGGATATATCTTGTTCAGCCATTACATAAGCGAGGTGACAGCAGTGTCATGGATAAGTATCAACCCTTCAATCTCTAGGCTCCCTTGTCTGGCAAAGATCCTTGAGTCTTTAGTCAACAAGAGCAGTTAGAATCTTATTTTTTTCCTTCTAATAGAACAAAAAATAGTTCTTAACAAATTACCACTACGGCCACGATGCTTGTTCAAAATGCTATTGCTAATTTATTTGTTAATAAAAAGCTTTTGACACTGTAGCATGCACTACTTTTGAGTAAGCTGTCATCTATAGGACTGGTCACTGATGCCTTCCAATGGTTTCATGATTATTTTCAAGAAGGGACTCTGGCCATCATGGTTGTTTGGGTCAGGTTTGAGCCCTTCGAGTTACGCAAAGGAGTTCCTCAGGGTTCAATAATTGCCCCACTGTTGTTCTCACTCTATATAAATAACATTGGGGATGATATTAGAAACTGTCATTTCCATGTTCATGCTGATGAGACGGTGTTCATCTCCATTGCTCCATCAGGTGTCCTAGCTTTAGGGATGCTGGAGTCTGATTCTGAAATTCTTCAGTGTTCTTTTTTTATAGCTTAAACATCTTAAATGTAAAAAGTATCTTCTAGAAACACATGTATACTAACTGTCTTGGATGGTATGCAAATGGAACAATAATCTGCATCTAAATACTTAGGGCTATGGTTAGGGGAAAGGCTTTCTTTAAAAAGAAAAACATGTAACTGAACAAAAATTCAAGCGTGGGTTCCTTTTTAGAAACAGGGCTTGTCTGTCCTCTGTTAGTAGAAAACTAATTATTCAGGCTACTTTTATGTTTGTCTAAGATTATGGTGACTTTATCTATATGCGTCTCTCGGCAACCACTTTAAAACCCCTCGTATAGATGAGATGGTTACCATGGTGCACCTAAGTTCATGACCGTGGATAGTTACGGAACTCATCACTGTTTACTATATCAACATGTGGGTTGGGCCTGTCTTACTGTGGTACGTGAGAAACATGCTTTAATCTTTAAAAAAATTCAATACATTTTAAAGAAAATAACCCTATATACATATCATCTTTAATTTCCTGTGGAGTAACACATTTTAATACCAGATCACAGGAGTGGATTACATTGAGTTCTCCAGTGGTCTCCTGTGAGTTGGGTCGGACTGCTTTCAGTTGCTTCGCCCTCATCTATGGAACAAACTCAAGACCTCTATTAAATCAAACACACTTGTGTCCCTTGCCCATTGTAAGATGTTCTGTGTGTGTGTTATTTTGTTATTATTTGCCTGTGTTCAAGTTTGATTCTGTCTTATTATTATTGTTTATTTGTATTTTCGCCGTTCTTTTGTTGTTGACTGTAAACGTAAAGTTGTTTGCAGTTGGCACAGCCGCAAAAGAGATCTCGGTCGGTTTCCCTAAATAGAAGTAAAAAATAAAGTTACAAAATCTCGGCACTAACAATGGGAGACTTTGTTCAGACAGGTAACAAGCTTATGCTAGCTTAAGAGAGGCATAGGGATGTGTCTCTCACTTTCCCCACATTTAGATTATCACTGGGCCCTTGTCTAAGCAGCCGGGCTACTCTCCTGGTGGGGTTTAACTCTGCTCTTTGAGTGCTACCTTTCTTTAGGTTTCCACTTCAACCTTTTTCCTGGAGAGCTAATCTCTTGAAGGTTTGAACCCTTTTCCTGAAGAGCTAACCTTTTGGTTTTTTAACCCTGTTTCTGGAGATCTAATCCCCTCTAGGCTTTCGCTCCAACCAAATATCTTGAATGGCTATATTAGCTTTAACAATGGAACACGTTGTCCTCGCAGGTAACATGCACAGGCTTGCTTGCGGGAGAGCAAGAGCAATAAAACCTCTCCTCTCTTTTAAAATAACACTGGATATTTGTGTTAATAGCATGACTCTACACACCCCTGTTCCTGGAGTGCTACCCTGTTGATTTCAACCCTCTTTCTGGAAAGCTATTATCCTGTAGGTTTTTAGATGTCTGGAAATAATGAGTCTCTCAATTCTAACAATGGAAGTTGTTTCCTGGCAAGCAGCAAGTAGAGAGAAGGAGTGAGAGATTGAGAAGCACTCCTGTCTTTCTCATTGTGAATAATTTTCCTTAATCTGTCTCCATTTCCCCCTTCACTTTTTCTTTTAGTCGATTTACCGCTGAACCATAGATTCTAGACTAGAGGATGACTCCAACCCTACTCTCATTGATTTTCCGTACTGTTTGTTTTAAGTTGTGGTCGGCCTAGGTCGGTCTGTGTGTGTGTGTGTGTGTGTGTGTGTATTCCAAATTATTATGCAAATTATTTTTTAATCTGAATTTCATAGATAGTCAATGCAAATGACAGTCAATTTTCAGGTCACCAACCGTTAGAGAAAAAGTGGAATTTCATTGAACGAACCGCCCAATAAAAACAGTATTTAAAAAAAAAAAAAAAAAAAAAATGCAAGGTTCCAAAATATTATGCACAACAGAATTTCAAAACATTTTATAGGTTGTAAAAATAATGCTAATTTGTTGAATTTGAACCATTCTGAGGTCATATTTACTGAAATCAAAAGCTATTTCAATCAAACATCTTAACAGGGCAAGTTACATGTTAACATAGGACCCCTTCTTTGACATCACCTTCACAATTCATGCATCCATTGAACTTGAGTTTCTGCTTGAATTTCTTTGCAGGATGTCAGAATTGCCTCCCAGAGCTGCTGGTTTGATGCGAACTGCCCATTGATCTTTAGCTTCAGGATTCTCCTAAGGTTCTCAATAGGGTTGAGGTCATGGGAGGATGGAGACCACTCCATGATTTTCTCTCTTTTTATGCACATATCAGCCAATGACACTGAGGTATTCTTTGCAGCATGAGATGGTGCATCGTCATGCATGAAGATGACTTTGCTACGAAAGGCACAGTTCTTCTTTTTGTACCATGGAAGAAAGGTGTCAGTCAGAAACTCTATATAATTTGCTGAGGTCATCTTCACACCTTCAGGGGCCCTACAGGGGCCTACCAGCACTCTTACCATAATTCCAGCCCAAAATATGACTCTGCCACCTTGCTGACGTCGCAGCCTTATTGGGACATGGTGGCCATCCACCAACCATCCACTACTCCATCCACCAACCATCCACTACTCCATCCACGAACCATCCACTACTCCATCCACCAACCATCCACTACTCCAACCATCCACTACTCCATCCACCAACCATCCACTACTCCATCCACCAACCATCCACTACTCCATCCACTACTCCATCCACTACTCCATCCACCAACCATCCACTACTCCATCCACTACTCCATCCACCAACCATCCACTACTCCATCCACTACTCCATCCACTACTCCATCCACTACTCCATCCACCAACCATCCACTACTCCATCCACTACTCCATCCACTACTCCATCCACTACTCCATCCACTACTCCATCCACTACTCCATCCACTACTCCATCCACTACACCATCCACTACTCCATCCACTACTCCATCCACTACTCCATCCACTACTCCATCCACCAACCATCCACTACTCCATCCACCAACCATCCACTACTCCATCCACCAACCATCCACTACTCCATCCACTACTCCATCCACCAACCATCCACCAACCATCCACTACTCCATCCACCACTCCATCCTCCAACTATCCACTACTCCATCCACCAACTATCCACTACTCCATCCACCAACTATCCACTACTCCATCCACCAACTATCCACTACTCCATCCACCAACTATCCACTACTCCATCCACCAACCATCCACTACTCCATCCACTACTCCATCCACTACTCCATCCACTACTCCATCCACCAACCATCCACTACTCCATCCACCAACCATCCACCAACCATCCACTACTCCATCCACTACTCCATCCACCAACTATCCACTACTCCATCCACCAACCATCCACCAACCATCCACCAACCATCCACTACTCCATCCACTACTCCATCCACAACTCCATCCACTACTCCATCCACTACTCCATCCACTACTCCATCCACTACTCCATCCACTACTCCATCCATCCACTACTCCATCCACTACTCCATCCACTACTCCATCCACTACTCCATCCATCCACTACTCCATCCACTACTCCATCCACCAACCATCCACTACTCCATCCACCAACCATCCACCAACCATCCACTACTCCATCCACTACTCCATCCACTACTCCATCCACTACTCCATCCACTACTCCATCCACCAACCATCCACTACTCCATCCACCAACCATCCACTACTCCATCCACTACTCCATCCATCCACTACTCCATCCACTACTCCATCCACTACTCCATCCACCATCCATCCACTACTCCATCCACTACTCCATCCACCATCCATCCACTACTCCATCCACTACTCCATCCACCATCCATCCACTACTCCATCCACCAACCATCCACTACTCCATCCATCCACTACTCCATCCACTACTCCATCCACCAACCATCCACTACTCCATCCATCCACTACTCCATCCATCCACTACTACATCCACCAACCATCCACTACTCCATCCACTACTCCATCCACTACTCCATCCACTACTCCATCCACTACTACATCCACTACTCCATCCACCAACCATCCACTACTCCATCCACCAACCATCCACTACTCCATCCACTACTCCATCTACTACTCCATCTACTACTCCATCCACTACTCCATCCACCAACCATCCACTACTCCATCTACTA